AAAAAAAAAAAAAAAAAAAAAAGAAATTAGATTTCAAAGCCTATATTTACGACTAACATTTTTTGCATTGTGATATTATTTCCATGACAAATTTTTTCATATTTTCTCAAGTTTTTTGTCACTCCAAATTTTCATTCCATCTTTTTCTGATTGCTATACTAAAAATATATATATATATTTTAATTTGCATAAATTCAGTACAACAAATTGCGTATTACTCATTTTTATTCAAGTATTTTTGGGGAAAATTAAGTCAAAAATGTTGATGATCAATTTTAATATCCTAAATATTCATTTTATTTTCTTGAGTCAAAATTTGATGAAATGTGACCAAAGACATATTTTTGACAGATTTCCTGAGAATCAACCTTAAAATAAAGCAATAAACCCCGTGAAGCCGTGGTTTACAGTGAATTTATAACAGCTAAGGGGCGTTGTTGTTATAAATTCACTGTAAACCACGGCTTCACGGGGCTTATTGTTTTTATAAAACGGTTATTCCATATACGTAGTACCGGAACTATCCGTTATATAAAGTACAAGTTACTAAAGGCAATGCAGTCGCACTTTGTGTCCAGAATGAGTGCTGTACGCACCAAATCCGACAGTGTTTTACTCTACATTTGCAGGATAAGAAATCCTTATCAGTCTGCCACACACACACACACACACACTTCTGCCATGTCTTGTGGCCTAAGTTGTCCAGAGTCTGGCAAAGAGGCGACTGGATCCGTTCTCAGGGTGAGGAGGTGTGGATAGCGGGGCATCAGTCGTCTGAGCTGCTATCATGGCGCCGCCGGTAGCTTTGTGCCGGGGAGCCTCGACCAGCGCGGTGTCCATCAGAGGACGAGTCCGTGTCGTGCCGGCGGTGCTGGTGAGGGGGGGTCAGGGTCCTGTGCTCGGCCTTTAGCCCCCCTCCTGAATGGCTGTCACGGGCTCCGGCTCCACTCTGACTGCTCCTTGATGGATTAGGACCATGGTGGTCCCGGGGATCCTTTCTACGCCTGGGGAGCACAAAACACACCAAGACAATCATTTATTCCTGGTGAGCATGGGAAGTTTGGTTCCGTTTGAGGGGAAACCATAAGTCAGACATGGACTATGAGGAAGAGCCTGTCCTCGTCTTCTGTCACGGAGGCATAATGTGAATATCAGAGTCATTCTATAAGTTACGGCACATTTCACATCAGGAAAAAGTGTCAAGAAAATGCTCTCTCAATAAATCAACTACTGGTTTTAGTTTATATATGTTATCTGTTGTTTGCCGAACTTAATCATTAATCACCATTTTGATATTACAAAGAAAAATATGTTTTTGTTAGTGTTGAGTTTGTCAACTATGTTACAGATAAACTGTATGGATTTACAGGTAACTTAGTTGACAATTTCACCATTTTGACTCATAGTTTCAATTACAGGCCTTGTCTGGCCAACCAAATTTTATTTTCTTGATCCGGTTTTAATTTTTTATTCTTTTGTACCTTGTACAACAGTGAGCGCAAGCTACATTAGAGTGATTATTACATTTTAAATATGGATATTTTTCTTACAAAAACGCATCGATTCGCTACAGGAGGCCTTTGTTCACCCCCCGGAGCTGTGTGAGACACTTTTTTTTTTATGGATGGGCGCTTTTTATTTAACTTCTTTTGGACTGAAGCAATGCAACACCCGCTGAGTGCCATGAAACAGCTTGAAAGATCAAAGACAATTTTTAATATAACTCCGACTGGATTCGTCTGAAAGAAGAAAGTCATATACACCTAGGATGACTTGAGGGCGAGTAATTTATGGGCTAATTTTCATTTTTGGGTGAACTAACCCTTTAAGTTAATACTTCAATATTTTAACAACACGTTCACGTTTACTGTTCTCTGATTTTCACACTGACATGATGTAGGTAAGCAAATAAACCTTCTATTTTTAGCATTCACGTGTTTTATTTTGATTGTTTAAATATTAAAATAATGGGGTTAATGGCCTGCGATTCTTCCATTAACCCCAGCCAAGTAAAACCCTGGCATCATGTAACGTTAAATGCACTTTATGATGTTGATAAAGAATGGAATACATTTTCTTTCTCTTTGTTCTTATATATATATATATCAGCATGGAACAAATGAATCCCATTCAAATCTATGTGATAAAATGACTTGGGTAAGAAGTCTAGAAATAATCAAAAAGTAGTCCGAATACATTACCTAAAATCTAACATATTACTAAGATTGTAACTAAAAATCTGTGGGGCCGGTTGCATAAAAGATTTAGACTAGTCTTAAAAGTTAGTCATCTAATTTTGTTCTTTAAGACTGGTCAAAATTTTTTTAAATACGGTTATATAAAAATGTAGATTAGTCTAAGCTGAATCCAAAATATAAGCCTGATTATCCCTTGGTTAATTGCTAGTTGTTCAAACTGGTTCTTAAGACACTGTCTTAACATAGAGGCTAAGTTTATGCAACTGGCCCTGTGCTTATATATTAGTCTTACTTGCAAATTGCTTTGGAGTGTAAAGAAATAAATAATACTTTAGAAAACAGCTCACTACATTTTTTAATAAAGCCACATTGTGATCATTTTCTTCAAACCAAACATAGTTCTACCACTGTTGTCAAAAAACTCTCTAAGAAGAAAGAGGAAACTAAACTAAAAGATGTGATGAACTAAAACCAATAGAATTGTGTTACAACGCCCTCTTGTGATCCGACTGCGTTACACCACGGAGAAGGAAAACTAATTCTGTATGTTCACAATTTATAAACAAGCTACAACCAAAAGTAATACAGGTATTTGCTTTAGTTTACTATAGACAGTTGACCTTTTACTGAAGCTTTCAGAGTCGGAGTCTGAAGAGTCACTGCTGCTTCTGTGCTTTGTTTTCTTTTTTCTTTTCTTTTCCTTTTTACTCTTCTTCTTTCTGTCAGATCTGTAATTAATATCAGTACTCAACTTAGATACCGTGTCAGTAGTGACCTTTTTTGCAGTCATGAATTCTCAGGTTTCTTCTTTTCCACGTTTAAAAATCTTCCACATAAACGAACCACACAAACACGTATATATTATACCTTTTTTCTTCTTTATCAGGTCTGTGGGCTTCCTCAGGCGTCTTACTGGCTTCTTGCAGTCTATCAGCTTTGTGGTGCTGACAACAAATCAATAAATACAAGATCAGTGGTTTACAGTGCTTGTAATATGTGACCCTGGAGCACAAAACCAGTCTTAAGTCGCTGGGGTATATTTGTAGCAATAGCCAACAATACATTGCATGGGTCAAAATTATTGATTTTTCTTTTATGCCAAAAATCATTAGGATATTAAGTAAAGATCATGCTCCATGAAGATATTTTGTAAATTTATTACCGTAAATATATCAAAACTTAATTTTTGATTACTAATATGCATTGCTAAGAACTTCATTTGGACAACTTTAAAGGCGATTTTCTCAATAGTTTTTTGGGTTTTTTTGCACCCTCAGATTCCAGATTTTCAAATAGTTGTATCTCTGCCAAATATTGTCCTATCCTAACAAACCATACATCAATGTAAAGCTTGTTTATTCCGCTTTCAGATGATGTATAAATCTCAATATCAAAAAATTGACCCTTATGTCTGGTTTTGTGCTCCAGGGTCACATATTGTTGAGATATTGAAACCATGACACATTCTCATATTCAGATTAGTATCAAAACTAAAGTATTTATGTCTATGTACCGTGAAAACTGGCAAGCCCATCTTTACTGCTTCTTTTTCTTGTTTGGAAAGCACCATCCCTCTCCGTCCAGCCTCGTCCAAAAACACCAGAATCTCACATCTATTAGATTATTTTTATAAATGAAAGTAACGTATAATACTAGAAGAGCTAGTTACAAACTAGTGCGGTTTCTCAAACTGTAGTGATTTTATTTTGTCTAACATCAATATGCATTTCAAAAGTTTTTGCATTTCTCTTGTGGCCTCTGAATATAATAATAGATGCGCTCATTCAAATATTTATTAACAATATTGTCAGACCTTGTGTACTCGAGGTATATTGTTCAATCTTGGCAAGTGGCACTGTTTTATATTCATTCAGTACCAAGTGTACCAAGTCATTTTTTGCGTTTACCTTTTGTTGTGAGGGCAATTAAGCAATTGCACATTTTTCTGCACTTTTTAATCACGGTAAAGCACAAAAATCTCATTCTCGGTATAATATGTACTATAATGTTGACAATTAATATTATATTATCAAAGATTAGAGCGTTATAATTATGAAATTACCTAAATTGTATTTTCACATTATTGTAATATTGGCTGTAATGCATTTATGTCAGTTTTAATTACAGAAGAAAAAAAACTATGCATTCCTGTAATGAGAATTATATTTATTTGCATTACGTTTTCTGTTTAAAAGTTTTTAAAAAAGAAGCTGTTTAAAAAACCTTAACGTTCAAAGGTTTATAGGCCTTACAGAAGGATAGATAGATAGACGGAACATTCATTTGTTGACAAGGGTGGAAGAACATTTCCCACAATGCATCACCTATGTTTAAAATTCAATAAAATCCTGTTATTCCAATGCAAATGCCAATTAAATTGCATAACCCATCCATAATCCAAATCTAAGTTTTATTTTTCATGCAGCAATGTACGCAGTGCAAAGTTTCGCAAGTGAAAACCATATTAAAAAGCGGGACCGAATCTGAAATTGCGATGTTTGACATTGTGATAACAACAAAGTTTAACTTCTAAAGTATTCCACACTCCACCATACAATTACCCTTACTTTACAGTATCTTTAACAGGTAAAGAGAGGTCTGGATCAAGCAAACTTGTCATGAAGACTGTACACATACAGCACTGGCTTTACCTGGAGCTTTACCCCGAGCCCAGAGACCCTGTCCTCCGCGTCCCCTTCATCCGCCTCCGCTTCCCTCCGGCACACATCCGCAAGATCCTGCAGCAATGACATATGCGTCAGAAACAGCAACGAGAAATGCTACAAATCCCTGAAATGTTCTCGTTTGGATGTTTACAAATGCAAACCTCTTTGGTAAGGCCAGTTGGTTGTCTCTCGATTGCTTTATGACCCCTAAAATAGACGAAAATACATAACATTAGAGATGTGAGCTCATTTTCTTCCGCACTTGCCTGATGAATCAATCACACTCACAGCGCTGCTAACATGGCCTCGTGCTCCGCCTCTCGTACCGCTGCCATCTCCTGCTCTTTAGACAGAGACGCGCCGCCTTTCTTATCTTTGGCGTACCACGACAAATCCTTCCCTTTCTGCCACCGGCCCACCGGTGCCATGAGGGAATTCCCTGAGGAAAAAAGAACATAAAAAATCAACACAGGACCTTGGGTAAATCTAACACAAGTCATATTTCATCATATTTATATTTAGCTTAAGGACAAAGAAATATATGACCTTCAGGACCATTAGGATTTTTGCATTGTCACATGATTTTTATGACAATTAAGCAAATTTTTCTGCACTTTTCATCACTGTAAAACACATTAATCTCATTCTCGGTACTACGATGTTGAAACATATTATATTATCACAGATTAGACTGTCAGAAATATTTAATTATTTAAATTGTATTTTTACATAATTGCAATATTGGTTGTACTGCATTTAATTTACATCAGTTTTAAACAAAGAAAAAAAAACTATGAATTCCTGTAGTGAGAATTACTATTATTATTTTTTTTAATTTAGAATATTTAGAATAGAATAGAATATTTAGAATAGAATATTTGGAATTTTTTTAGAATAATAATAGAATTATTATTATTTATTTGCATTATGGTAATTAGACTTTAGTGGAAATTTTGCTTAACTGTCAAGAAAATAATTATATTAACTATATTAAAACCTACTAGTTTTGATTAATTTATATAAAAAATATTTATTTTATCAAAACTATTCGTTTTTATAAATATTTTGAATCAGTTGTTATTTTCCATTTTAATTTCCATTTTAGTGATTTTGTTGTGTTTTGTCATTTTTAGTGTTTTTTTTTATATATGTCTATATAGTTTTTATTCATTTATATTTCAGTTTTACTTATTTTATTACATCAAGTTGACTAATGACTAAAGTTAAACTAAATAAAAATGAGAAATGTTGCCTTGGCAACTAGTGGAAATAAAAATGTTTTTATATTTTATTTCAGTTAACATTTATTTTATCTTAAGCAACAAAAAATAGCTCATAGATCGAATTTTAGTTTCAGTTTTAGTTACCTTTAACAACCTGCATGGAAGCTCTGAATCAATATGCCAAGCTCATGCTGACCTTCTGACTGATAGAGAAAGGATAAGCAGGCAACTATGTAAACAAAATGAAAGGTCAGTTGAATGTCTTGGCAAAAAAAAAATGGTACATCAAATAAGGACTTCTACTATGACGATATTTTCTTATGAATATTAAACAGGTTGCGTCACGTTTACCCAGTAGGCCTCGCTGACGTCAGCACGGCATATTAAATATTCATAGACCTGGCCTGCGCTTTAGCAATGCGCATGCGCTCTAGTGAGACTCCTGCGGGACGCTCCAAGCAGGTTACCAGGCAACGCCTGCAAGACCTAATTAATATTCAGAAGCTCAGTCTTCGCCGTAGTAGGATTTGTAAAGTACCGAGTGCGACCGCGTCTCATGTCACTCTGGGTACCTTAACTAGTAGAAAGTTCAACACGTCCACACACACCTACAAGAGCCACAGCTGTGTCCGACACATAAAACAAGCAGACGATGTGATGAGAGATCACACCAAGGAGAAAGGTAGGAATGTCTGCATTTACGCTACAAATGCGAAAAACTTTATTCAGCAAAGAGACACGTTTAGCCCAGAAGACAATCTGCCATCATGAATAAGTAATATCTTTACACTACAGAAATGCAATCAAGCTACACAACTACTCGCTATTAGCGTTCTGAATAGGTTTATCAAGCCTGTGAACTGCAAAATGTTGGCACAAACCAGTTACATGAGCTCTAATCGGCTATTAGGAATTAATTCAAGTGTGTAAAGTGCAAAATAAGTGTGCTTGTATGAATATAATCGCATATTTGGGAATCGTTTTACACAGTAATCGTGTAGACTGGGTTGCTAGCCGCGGCTAGTTAGAGCTGTTAGCTCCATACTCACCTAAATAGTTCTCTCTGTGTTTATCCACCTTCACATCGTCCCAGTTGAACTGGTCCTGACCCCCCCTCTCACCCCTCCAGATCTCGATGAGCCAAACATGACTTCTGCTCATCCAGACACACTGAAAGATGTTTTACACACATGTGCAGCACAACAACCAGGCCTTGGTTTTCCACAACATCCGGGAACCCGCCTGCTTTTATATCATAAATGTAACATGAAGCGCTTTTCAATCACTACAAACACTAGGGCGTCGACCACGTTCCATTCAGTACGACATGACAAAATTGTTTCTTTTCTTTAAATTGTCCGTGAGGCGTTTCCCTGTAAGAATACGCGATCGCGATGTCAACATCATGTGCGGTTTGGCGCGCGGATGTTCTAAAGATCTGCGAGGCGTGCGTCGCCTTCTGATGACGCATCAGTAATGGCTCTCATGCGAAAAGCAGTCACCTGAGCGAGAGAGGAAGATTATAGGCGAAGCGAGAAAGACATTCTCCCCGTATTTGATCACTTCTTTTACAGAAATGCAATCAAGCTACACAACTACTCGCTATTAGCGTTCTGAATAGGTTTATCAAGCCTGTGAACTGCAAAATGTTGGCACAAACCAGTTACATGAGCTCTAATCGGCTATTAGGAATTAATTCAAGTGTGTAAAGTGCAAAATAAGTGTGCTTGTATGAATATAATCGCATATTTGGGAATCGTTTTACACAGTAATCGTGTAGACTGGGTTGCTAGCCGCGGCTAGTTAGAGCTGTTAGCTCCATACTCACCTAAATAGTTCTCTCTGTGTTTATCCACCTTCACATCGTCCCAGTTGAACTGGTCCTGACCCCCCCTCTCACCCCTCCAGATCTCGATGAGCCAAACATGACTTCTGCTCATCCAGACACACTGAAAGATGTTTTACACACATGTGCAGCACAACAACCAGGCCTTGGTTTTCCACAACATCCGGGAACCCGCCTGCTTTTACATCATAAATGTAACATGAAGCGCTTTTCAATCACTACAAACACTAGGGCGTCGACCACGTTCCATTCAGTACGACATGACAAAATTGTTTCTTTTCTTTAAATTGTCCGTGAGGCGTTTCCCTGTAAGAATACGCGATCGCGATGTCAACATCATGTGCGGTTTGGCGCGCGGATGTTCTAAAGATCTGCGAGGCGTGCGTCGCCTTCTGATGACGCATCAGTAATGGCTCTCATGCGAAAAGCAGTCACCTGAGCGAGAGAGGAAGATTATAGGCGAAGGGAGAAAGACATTCTCCCCGTATTTGATCACTTCTTTTCCCCGATGTATGTTAGGTTTATCTCCAGGTTTTTGTCAGGTGAGTTGAAACGAGCTATAGCTTTAAATCATATGTGATGGTCGCCAGTAGCATCATCTTTCTTTGTTGAGGATACAGTAAAGAAGTTCTGGCTCTGATTTTGACACTGAAAAGGAGCCTATTACCTTCAAGTGCCTTATGTCAGTCACAGCTGTGTGCAATGCCCTGCATAGTGATGCTGTTGTTTATTAGTTATTAATTACATGCAGTGGTGGACAAAGTACACAAATCAAGTATTTAAGATTAAATGCCCCCAATGAAATATTACTCCAGTCAAAGTAATAATTTATCATAATCACTAGTATGTTATGTTGATAAGCTCTGTTGGCATAATGACGATTAATGAATAATTGCTTATCTTATTACATTATCTTAATATTTATTAATATTTCAAATTGATTTGAAAAAATAAGCTGTATTAACTTAATGATATTTGACCCTGGACCACAAAACCAGTCATAAGGGTCAATTTATTGAAATTGAGACTTATGCATCATCTGAAAGCTGAATAAATAATCTTTCCATTGATGTATGGTTTGTTAGGATAGGACAATATTAGGCTGGGATACAACTATTTGAAAATCTGAGGGTGCAAAAAAAAAAATCTAAATATTGAGAAAATCACCTTTAAAGTTGTCCAAATGAAGTTCTTAGCAATGCATATTACTAATCAAAAATTAAGCTTTGATATATTTACGGTAGGAAATTTACAAAATATCTTCATGGAACATGATCTTTACTTAATATCCTAATGATTTTTGGCATAAAAGAAAAATCGATAATTTTGACCCATACAATGTATTTTTGGCTATTGCTACAAATATACCCCAGCGACTTAAGACTGCTTTTGTGCTCCAGGGTCACATATTGTCTTGATAACTTAAAAAATTAAGCAGTGGATTTCTAGTTCCCAGCATGCTTTGCATAGGACTGGATAAGGAGAAGGCTGGGTTGGGTGTGACAGGTTTGGTTTGCGGTGAGCTGATTGGAGCACACACACAAACATTCAGATCACACTGAGTGCTGTGAGTGTTTTCAGTTTCATTTACACGCACCAAAGTGACACGTTAACACTTGAGCAAGGTAAGCAGTGCCCAAACAGAGCTTGGATTGTGATGCAAATTTAGTTGTTGCAGGGCTCTACGCTTACTTTTCTTTTTAGGAGCGCTTGTGCTCCTAATTTAAAAAATTTAGGAGCACGGTCAAAAATTTAGGAGCACCTTCTAATCAGTAATCAAAAATTCTGATAAAAAATTAACCTTCCCATTACGAGGTAATATTTGACTCCTTTAAGTGATTTATAGGGAATTTTGTTTTTACCTTTGTAATGGCATTTTTCTAACTTTATTAAAAGTATGTCATCATCTGTCAAATTCTTTAAAAAATTATATTTTATAAGCTTTTTAAAATTTTTATT